TTTTTCTGAAGTGATTGCATAAGCCTCTGTGTCCTCTCGAGCCAAGATGTCTTACAGACATTTCATGGCAGTATTTTAAGTAGAAGTTGGGATATTTGAATCTGGACCAAATTACCACAGGACAGATATTTACTCTTAAGTCAAAAACAATAGATGAAATGTCTCTGTTGCATTTTTATCTCACCCTCCAACATTTGCATCTGAGCTGCATCTAGTAGTACCGTCACAACAAGATTCTGATGATCCACTCAGACATGAGTGGACTGTGCGTCACTCTCTGAAATGGATTGCCACCTCCTCAGAGACGCATTAATACAGAGTCCATATCTTATTCATGCAGTGTTTCAATTCTTACTGTGAATGCATTAGTCCATTCAGTTCTTCAGCATATAGCTCACCGTCACACTCAATCAACTAATCCATTCATAAATGCGTTCATGTTTTTCACCTTTCGTCATTTAGTTAGCTGCTTTTCCACGTACTGAACTCCATCCATCCATCCAAGTAATTACCTCTGAGGTTGTGTTGTATTTCTAATAATCTTAATACCAAACTGAGTGACCTGTCCAGGTTGTACTCAGCCCCTCGTCCCAGGACCTTCGGTGGTAATGATAATCGATGGATTGATTGAGGGATAATAAACGTCATTTAAACGGCACATTTCATCATGCAGTTACAAAGTGCTTTACATCGTTGGAACAGGATTCAAAGATTACAGGACTACGACAAATAGGACAAATAATACAGCAGAAAATAATGAGACAAACAGGAAATTCCTGTAATAAAATGGTACATAAGGACTATTGAATTGCTGTTTTAATAATAATAAAAGAAGAGGGAGTTCCAAAGCAGAGGACTGGATTTACAGCATATTTGTTTGTTTTCTTGTGTTGTATTTGCAGCATGTTGGTCTTATATGGTTTTGCATTGATAAAGATGTGTTTAAAGATTTATTGCATTGAGCCTTTTGGGCAACTGTTCACATTTAAGACCAAAGTGTATGCAGAATACAGGTGAGATCATATGAGGAAATGAGATTAAATAAGGGATTAAATGATATTTGACTAGTTCCGGCCAGTCACGCTCTCCTGTGCTTGTAGTAACTCCACCTTCACTGAGCGTCTCCACCCCCAAGAGCTTTGGCGGAGTTGCGTAATGGCCGAGGGAAGAAGACTTGACAGCTCCAGAGTGTCACTGTGACTATTAAGTGGGGCTTTGCTGGAAAAGGAGCAGCGTGTGTGTTCCGCCGGCTTCCTTTGAACGAATGAAAGGTTAAAAAGGATTTTCTCCTCGGACAGTTTTTCATTCTGAGGGTGATTTCTGTAAATGACAGCAGTTTCCACTCGGAGGCCCATCATTAGAAGTGGCTCCCTAGCGCCAGCCTTTGGTTCGGTTCAAAGGTCAAGCCACCTGAAGCTCGCTCGTTTGGCTCCCTGCGGTTCAGATTTGTCCTTTTCACACATGTGTGTCATTACACATCGCTCGGCCTCAAAACACATTCCTGGCCACATGTAAGCTGGATTAGATTTAGAGCTGTGAAGTGGCCTTTTTCTCAGAGAAGGAAAAAAATAAATGTTTTAAAATGTTAGCTGTGTTGTGCTTGGAAACCAGTGCCATATGTTTATGGCTCCACTTTTAACTTTTAATACTCAGTTGTGTTGCTAGGGAGGAGTTGGGCGGAATCTAAGTAAAATCGACAAACAACAACAAAGCAGACATTTGGACGTTTGTATGATTTAGTGTGAGAATGCTTGTGATACAGGAAAGGAAGCAGAGGCACTTCTAGAAAAAATTAAATCCAGACCTAAACATACATTCATTGGATCTTTATGAAAATGTTTTGGGTATTTACGGCTTAAAGGGCTGTAAATACTGCGTGATGTCACATGGGAATAAACATAAAACTATGGTACTATACTCTAGCTACTAATACTCTTACGACTCAAAACGGGCAAGTGATGAGAAAGAGCAGAAAAGGTATTTGTAGATCTGAGCATTCAGCATCGATTCTGAGGGTCCAGCTCGACCCATTAGCCTCTGACCATTCGTTAGATTTCTGAGCTGATGCTTCAGTGGCATTTCAGACCAGCAGGTTCAACAGGTCCAGTTCCACAGGTGCTGAGAGCTTTGGTAAGATTGTTATTCTGCCTGACCACTGAAAGATGAAGGTATTTTATTTGTTTCTTGGTTTATTTGTCAGCAGGAGAACTACTTAATGGATTTCCTCCGAACTTGAACTGGAAGTGTGGGACATTGTTTTGGCACCAGATTCAGACAAAGTGACAAATTGAGGTAATTTCACTTTAACATTTTCATAAATGTCTGGGGAATAATTCATGCTCTTGATGGGGAAAAATAGCAAGTAAGCATATTAAGGCGACTGATATCTCTGTGTGCAATGTGGTGCGGCTTGATTGAATTTAAAGGGTCTGTTGGGCCTGGGAGGAGGAAAATAGTAAATTGACAGTGTTTACTAAGTGCTCCTCCAGTGTTAACAACCACTCAGAGACTCACATTTACCCATTTGCATGCACATTCACACACTGTTTCTAAACACAGAAAAACTGTACCCCTCTGGTGTTAGTATCTTGCCCAAGGACACTTTATAAGGGATCAAACCGCCGGCCTTCTTGTTAGTGGACGACCCTCTCTTCCTCCTGAGCTCTACTGAGTATGAGCTAATTAAAGTGGTTTTGAATGATGTCTTAGAAACTCTAGAATCTGCAGTTTATATAAAATGAAATTATAGAATGAGAGTTGGCAGGAATCTCAGATTTTTAATTAATAATAAATATTTGAATGTTTGATGCTAAAGCAAGAAAACGTCACATATGTTTGTAGCTCAATCACACAAAAAATTCATTTCCAAAATTATGTCTAGAGCTGATTAATTCCACTTCCAGCCCTCGTGCCTGCTGGACTCAGACCTTGTCAGCAGATGGAAAGTGGAAGATTACAAATTGTGATATCTGGATTAGGTTTGTGATAAGTTGCTTTCCTCTGGGGGGCGAGCCTGGTGTCGTAAATATCACCAAGATCAAAGAAATTAACGCAGCGTTTTTGTGAGTGGAAATATGACGCCAGCATTAGTCCTATCGTGTGAGCCAGTGAGTGAATCAGCTCCGAGTGCACTGCAGTGTCTTAAATAATCAAAGGGAAAACATTGAAAGTCGTAATGATTCTGCAGTTTGAAGAATGTCAGTTTAGAAAATCACTGATTTGAAAATCAAACATTTTACCTGCCACATGCAGCAACCTCTACTTTCAGCTTGAGTTTGCCTTCCATTCTTTCTCTTTCACTACATCGCATATATCTCAACCTCCACTGAGTTTCCCCTCACTGTAAAAGAACACACAGAGCAGCTGCCAATGCCAACGTGTGTCCACTAATAACTGGCTGCTGTCGGCCAAACGTCCCTCATTTCTTTATTTATCAGCGAGGAAACGTTGGCGTTTTTTTGTGCTGATGCTGCGTTCGTTGCTATTTTGTGATACGGCGAGTAATCACTATGTTTAAACTGGTCAGCTGGAGAAGGCTGTGGTTACTGTTTCCTGTGTAAATGCAGGAAGCTTAAATTCTTCCACAAATCTCCTCTTGCTGTTTTATGTCTCAGCATTGATTTAAGGTCTCATATTTTACACTTTTCCTGTGTTTTATTAGAAGTTTTGATTTCCATAAGGAGATATATTTGTGGTTTTTAAGCACCGACAATCATCCCAAAGTAGTTTTATATTTTCTCTCCCAGGCTTTTCTCCAGAGCGAAAACAGCTTAGTCAATAGGCAATCAGGAGAAAGGCTCCCTTGCTTAATAGAGATCAAATAAAAATAGAGAAGATATTTAAGGTGAATACTCAGAAACCAAATTGATGGTTGGATGGTGAGTCATGTTGGGTGTATTTGAGGGAGGTGACTGAACCTAAGGGACCGTGAGACCTTTGAACAGCTCCACAATTCAGAGCAGCCCAAAATGTCGCCCTATATGCATCACTCCTACAAGTATAGTAAGTCAAAAGAGCCAGGGAAAGATTTGACGGGTGTTTGTGCCACGGCAGCGGATTCAAACATCTTCCAGCAGCAGTAACACGAGGACTTGGAAGGGACAGTGAGGATAAGTGATGCTTTTCATGGACTACAGGGTGCAGGGAATGTGGCCGCTGTTCAAGAACAGGGATTGAAGTGTAAAATTGTTCTTTTGTTTTATTTAAAAGAGGCTGCACTAGATTCCCAGAGGTTGGAATAAAATGACATGGCTCAAAGCTGAAAACCATGAAACCGTGTAATGTCAATAAATAGGCTCTTATTTCTATATAATTCACTTGGAATTCATTTCACTGATATACAAATTTTATTGGCTTTGTCTTTCTTACAAAAGCATTTCAAGATCTTTCTTAAATAATCTGTATATAAGCATTATTATTTTAATAATATGGTCGAATGCATGTTTTAAATTGAACATGCTATTTCTTGCAGAGATGTCCTCCGTAACAAAAAAAGCATATGTTAATTTAATGATTTATTTTGCTTGCATATTTCTGTGTTTTCTTGCTTTCTTGTCTTGCACTGAAAACTAAACACAACATTGTCCAGAGAGAGAGAGAGAGAGAGAGAGGGACAGAGAATGAGGGAGAAGAAGGAAAGTCATCCAATTTTCATTTGTTGGCCGCTGCAGCCAAAACTCTCATTTACTGTATAAACTCCCGGCTGCCAAGAGCTCACGTCCAAATCAAATAGCACAGCACAGCAGACACTAAAAACGCTTCCACTGTCGGACTCTTCGGCCAATTCATATTTAGTCTAAACTGAGCACAGATGGGGGAAGGATTTTTTTTCCCTAGCTCTCCTCATGCTGGTTTGTGTGAATGGGGGGAAAGAGGGTTTGCATTTGAAAGGGACACATGGTGATGAAAATGTTCTTGTGATTGTTCTTATTGAGTCATGAATATCATTTGAGATCGAGAGGAAGCAGTTGCGTTGGTGAAAGAGAGAGAAAGCAGTGAGGGAGATGTGGGAGGAATGCTTTGGTTTGGTGTGTGTTGCAGCGAGGGAGTCTGCACACTCTCAACTTCATGTCCACAGGGAGAGTCACTCTGGGGCTGTGTAATACGCTTTATATGCATCTCATCACACTAAAATCAAAATGAAAATACTTTATTTGTCACAGAATGTCTTGTCTGCCATCCAGCACACGGTTTAAAGGCATTATGTCGTTTAAAATGGTGTTTTTCCATTTTCAGTTCCAGTCTGAAGACAGAAAATAATGCAGATAAGAGAAGAAGAATAAGATACATTTCTGTGTGTTCTCAGATTTGAACTGGGACTCTTGAGTTTGCTTTTAGAAAATACTTCATACGTGCACTTTGGTGAATATTGCATTTGGTTATAGGTATGGTAGATGAATTTATATCCTGACTGTTGAGATGACACTGGCATCGGGCCACACTGGTAGACCATTCACTGAAACATATCTATCTCACTCCAAATTACTGGAGTTAATCTAACGTCTGTCACAAAAAAAGCAGAGTGAGCAAGAGGAATAATGAAAATTGAAAGATTGAACCCAGTCTTTAAACCGACCGACCCAGAGTATCCGACGTCTCCTATCAGCCTGAACGAGCTCCACTCACAAGATTTCTCGGGCTCACAAGGTTCCCACATAATGGATTGAACATTAAATTTCTTTTTAATTCCATCCCATTCACCTGGGGGAGCCCTCCCAGATAAAATGTCTCTTTTTTCAAAAGCGATCTGCAGCCGTCCAAGTCAGCATCCCATAATTACAAAAAAGAACATATGCAGTTTTCAATTAAAGATCATTATTTTAAATCCTGTCAGATATTGGAGCACAAGTTTTCGATTATCGTTATTAGCACCATCTTCTAAAATGAATAAGTACTTTATTGAACCCTCTATGGTATTTAAGTTACCAGCCAAATTATTTTACACTGAAATAATGATTGTCAGACTAAAGAGGATATGAGGTAATAAGCTCAACTGAAGTAATAAAAGGTTAATTAAATTTTTTCCTCCACTGCAACGGAGTATTAGGGCCATGTTGAAGAATTAAAGTTGTAATATGATGGAAAAGCCCTAATTGTGTTAAGTAATTATTTGAGGCTGCATGTTATTTCACAGAGATGGATATTAGAGAACAGCCTGTTGCCTGCATCAAAGTACAGTTTGTGGAACCGTTTTTTTGATAATTTCCAACAATACTGTGAAAATAGTGATCACAATAATTCTGGTCACTTTAATGCACATTTTCCTACTTTCAATTCTAATTAAAACATGCAGGGAGCACGGGCTGCTCAGATTTGCTTTGCAACAATTAGAATCCACAAAACCATTGTCTTTAAAAATACATCTGTAAAATGTTGAATCATCAGAATAGAATAGAACCCGAGGGGAAGATAGAGTTTAGGAATAATATCAAGAAGATGAACATGATAATTCCAGGGTGAGGTAACACCTCAACCTAAACTGTGTTGCAAAATATTTTCTTATTTGCTTCCAAATGTTAGAATTTTTCAAGAGAGCCTGGTTCAACATGAAATTCATTCATGCCACTTGCATATCTTTCATTCATTATGTAGCTGTGCAACAGGGAATAGGGAGAATCATTCATTCAGTCATTAACTTTACACCAGGTCATGTAATTTGCACTTAGCAGACTTTCAAATCCACAAAGACTCTCATATCTTGCGTATCAGAACTACAATATGCAACCGCTGCCGTTACACTGACATGCATTACATCGTGTCATCTCTGTGCGTGACCTTCTTGATGGATTTCCATTTTCCCACCACAGGTTAATCAATCACCTTTAGGTTTTAGGTGGGAGCGCCGCTAAAGACTGGTTTCATGCTACAAAGCAAACAGGGAGGTGATAGCAGTGGCAGTGTGGGGAAGGGGACTCATAAATCACACAGCGACGCTAAATGTGTTTCTGAGAGAGCCCATTAGAAAACACAAATGAATATGCATGGGAATTGATTTGGGGTGTGTGCGTGCATGCATGTGTGTGTTTTCGTGTGTGTGTGTCTGTGTGCGTTTGTTGGCTCCTTTAATGATCAGGGTCATCACGTTGTTGTTTTGAATGTTGGAAAAGAGAAACTCACCAGAGAGGCTGTTTGAAAGAAGCACATGAGGAAGAATTTAGGTCTTTTACTTTACAAGACAACTAATAGTAAGTAAACATCTGATATATAGACCCAAAGAAATATCATGTAATACATAAATGGAGTAGAAATGGTATGTAGAATGTAAACGGAATATATAGTGAGAACTGTTAAAT